ACTGTGTTGAGTGAGTGTGAGTGTGTATGTTGAGTGAGTTGAGTTGTTCATTCCTAGATTTGTTTCTCGGAAGGCTGCCACGAAGCCCTCTAACATGGAGTGCGAGGTACTCGTCTGTCGCCGTCCCAAACTGTCACTCCCCTTTCTCCCGGCCGGGGCGCGCGCGGGGGGGCGGCGGGTTTTCGGGATGTCTGTGGGCCCGACAGCGATGCGTGTGCTGTGTGCTCCGCCTTGCTTAACACAAAAAAAAGCAAAAATCCCGAACGTCGAAAGGAAGTCACTGTACCTCGAGAGGTACACTCTTGGCCGGATCACTGCCGCCCCACCACATCCAGAATGAGCGCGCCCACCAGCAGCAGAATCGAGCGGGACGACGAGCCGCCTCGCCCCAGTCTGGGCATCGCCCTCAACGGCGGAGGCGCCAGGGCGCACGCGGGTTCTTGGGGCTTCATGCGTGCAATGCACCATCTCGGCCTCCTTTCGGAGGCGACTCATATCTCTGGCGTGAGCGGCTCGGGCTGGACGGTGGCGCACCTCGCCTACTCCTCCGACCCGCTCGACGAGGTGCTCACAACCTCGCGCCTCCCGACGCCAGCCAGTGCGCTGCCGGACTACAGCAGCAAGGAGGGGCGGGCAGAGCTCGAGATTATGCCGTGGGGCCGCCTCGGCGCGTCGACGTGGATATCCATCGGGGACTACACCAAGCTGCGCTCCTGGACGCTGAGTGCCTCGTTCGCGTGGACCTGCTGCTGCGACCCGCATGAGTTTTGGCTCTGGATGATCGACCAGATCTACCTCAAGCCGAACGGCGTCGACGGCCGGCTCATCACCGCCTCGTCCGAGGCGTGCCGAGACAGCACACTGGAATAGCAGCACGCAGTCGCGCCGCACAGATGGGTCCTCGTCCTCCCGCCCCTCCACCTCTCCGCTCTCCCCTCCCGCCCCTCAGGCGGCCGTCGAGAAGGCCATCGCCGCCGCGCCGCGCCTGCGCCGCTCCGACTTCATCGTGCAGCGGCCCGACGTGCGCGCGCAGCCCATCATCTCGTTCGCCCTCGCCGGCCCGTCGGCGCCGCGCAACTTCACGCACGCGCGCCGGGTGCAGCGGGCGCACTGGCAGGCGACGGGCGACGACGACGCGGCGGAGGAGTACGGGGACGCGCACGCGGCTCGGGCGGCGCACGGGGGCGCGAGCTTCGTCACCTTCGAGGCGACGCCGGACGAGGTGTCGACAGGGTACAAGGGGCCGCCCATGCAGACCGACGTCTCCTGCTGCTGCCTGCCCTGCGTCGCCCTCCCGGCGCCTAGCCTCGCCGTGCAGCCCGGCACGGTGCCGATGACGCGCTTCCTGCAGCCCGCCTCCTTCCAGTGCTGCGGCTTCCCCTCCGCCGCGCCGCCTTGCCTCTACCCGTGGAGCCTGCCCTGCTTCTGCGGACGGCCAAACACGTACTGCGGTCCGCCCGCCTTCACGCTGCGAGACGTTGTCGGCACCACCTCCTCCGCGCTCGGCGACTTTGTGCGAGGCGGGGTCGGGCGGGACGGATGCCTGAACGACTGCCTGCTGGACCGGGCGACGGACTGGGCGGCGCAGAACTGGGCGCTGCAGCGGTACCGCGTCTCGCCCTCCTTCGACGGCCGGCGGGCGCAGGACCTGCTCTTTGTGGACGGCGGAATGCACGACTGCTCCGCGCTGCCCGCGCTGCTGCGCCGAAAGTGCGCCCGCGTCGTCCAGTTCTTCTCTGGCCCGCAGCCGTACGCGACGCTCGCCGAGTCGGGCGGTGCGCTGCGGAAGACGCCTGTCGGCGGCTTGGAGGCCCGGCACCCCAACTCGCTGATGGTGGGTCGATGCATGGTCAGGCGCGCTGTGGAAGCCCGTCGACTCGCACATCTCCTCCTTGTTTGGCATCCGCAAGGACGAGCGGCGGATGGGCGGCTACGCCTACTCGCAGAACAAGCTCTTCGAGGCGCGAGATGCAACCGGGATGCAGCCGAGATGCATCCGAGATGCAGCTGAGATGCAGCCGGGATAAGCCGAGATGTAGCCGAGATGCAGCCGAGATGCAGCCGGGATAAGCCGAGATGTAGCTCTTCGAGGCGCCCGCCGTCCGCGAGGAGAGAGCGGCGGGC